ATACAGCACCAACATTTTACACAATTCATTTCTGATACAATGGTTAAAAGGAATCTTCCTTTAGTTAAACTGCTGGCATGAAATCTGCCAGCGCTGCACATATAAAGATATTGGCACTTGTGTGCCGAGGGCTAGTTGCTACTTAGCCCAGAACTCTGTCCCGGGTTGCATAATGTAAATTCTGCTGTCGTCAGTGCACACAGCACTCAGATTTCACTGCTTCAAGTTAACACTCAGCTGCCTCCTATCATTTAGTAAGAGCTCCCAGCATCCACCACTTCCCTGCATTTCTTTTGTGCTTTTTAAACAAAAAAATAAAAATAAAAATTCCTCCCTGGTCCACCTTTAAACCCTCCCTCCCTCCCTTCACTGGCCCACAGCTTCCATGTACACCCAGAGTCTGCGAAACGGTCCAATCACAGGATTCTCTATGAGAAGCCTCTGATTGGCCCTGTGATGTCCGTTTGAAGGAGGTCATCTGTGCCTGGAGCTTCCCGAGACTGAGAAGGGTTACATCGCAATGCATTTCATCATAATAAACATATATGAGTAAATCTACAGAGGTACACAAAAAAGCTGAAGACAAAAAACAGCATATAAATATCTCTCCGTCATTACTGGGTAGTTATCCAATCAAATTTTGCCTCAACAATTTACAGACGAGAAAGCTTAGAAGAAATAATGTGGGGGGTTTTTTGTTAGAAAAGGCCCCGAAGTATGAAGTTTTGAGAAAGTGCCTTGAGTAGTGCCAAGAAGGTATTTCTCTGTTTTCCTCCCGAGGCATTTTGTACTAATTATGGGATCAATTTCTCCCACTCTGCTGAGCTTAGCACCTTTCCCACACTTCCTCAACGTTGTTGGCCTTTTTGATAGCCTTTTGAATCCATGGTTACTTTCTACCCGGACAATGTTTTCATTCTCTAATGTGAAGACATAATACTATTCATTTACCAGAAAGTTCATTACTATACGAATATTTGTATAAACCACATCTTTCCCCACGTGGTTTTGCTGCCCACTCATATAGTGCTGTGCTAATTAAGTGTTCTTGCATAGAAAGACCACTTAATGTTATCTCACATATATATTATTATTATTTTTTTTATTATTATTACATACTGGTATACATATAATAGATACACATAGATGTATGGATCCATCATTTATACCAATCTCAATGTCATTCAAGGTGATTGGTGGTTTCAACGTTGCTTACTGAACCAGTCTCTGTCTGTATAAGGGCACATAGAACAACTGGAACAAAGTCCCACGAATACTTGCAGACACTGAACATTTCTATACATTATGGTTTTAATAAGTATATTACTAATCTTTCCTCTGTACAAATGGTATTGATAATTTATTAAAAAGAGAACACTTGAATTCAATTTAGAAAATTTTATTCATACATTTGTGATTATAAAGAAAAATATACTAATCAATACTTAATTATCATTTTGCATCAAATCAAACTTTTTCTTTTGTTAACTAAACATTTGCTCTTTATATATCCAAAAATCCACCAAATAAATTTGTGTTAACAACACATAGGTGTCATTTGTTATAAGGGAAAAAAACATTTGACTAGGAAAAATCCACTTCTTAGTTTTTTCCTCTAGGACTAAGAAGTACATGCCTGAATCTCAAGGCATTACAATGAAGTTCTGTTACACACAGAGACAGCTTTTATCACCATTTAAAATCTAATTAATCCATATTGAAGCACAATGATTACTGTTGTGTTTTAGGGTGAGGGGTCATAGAGCCTTCTTTGTTCGCCCACAGGCTTGTAATCATCAGGCATTTGGGATATAATTTTACCCAGCAAATTGAAAGGTAACAGATCAAATGCTTATCATAAACTTAACCCATGGCTGCCATAGATTCTTTCCCCTTGCCATATGAAACCATATCTATACAAAGACCAAACAGCACTTCAAGACTTTTGAAGGGTTAACATCAAAAGCTTATATACCGTGTAACGTGGAGCTAAGGTTATTAGTTCCCGATCGGCTTTGAGCTGCAGGGGTGTGCCTGTTGAGTAGCTGATAAGAAAGACCTTGTAAGAATGGCACTGGTCAAAAGAACTAATACTCAATTTGGTGGGATATTGTTGGCCTTGGCTGGATGGATTCTCTCTTGTGTCACTACTTACGTGCCTTTATGGAAGCAACTCAACTTAGATTTAAATGAGTTGGAAAACTGGACTATGGGACTCTGGCAAGCATGCGTTGTCCAAGAAGAAGGTGGAATGCAGTGCAAGGACTTTGACTCATTTTTGGCTCTGTCCTCAGAACTCAGGATTTCAAGAATCCTTATGTGTTTATCCAATGGTTCAGGGATGCTTGGTCTGCTTATCTCGAGTCTTGGTCTGGACTGCCTAAACATAGGAGGAGAAAAGCAAGAGCTGAAGAATCGCCTCTTACTACTTGGAGGGGTAATGCTTTGGAGTTCAGGATTAACTGCCCTCATACCAGTGTCCTGGGTAGCTTATGATACAGTTCAGGAATTTTGGGATGAGTCCATTCCAGATATAGTCCCAAGATGGGAATTTGGGGAAGCCCTGTTCATGGGCTGGTTTGGAGGATTTTTTCTACTTCTTGGTGGCACGCTGCTTGCTTCTTCATACTGTTTTTCACCTGCTGACCCAAGCAACATATGTTACCAGCAAACACGGCAGCATGAGAAATGTCTACACAGTGATCCGAAATACCCTGATCTGACCATTTGAAAACTCTAGGTGTTTGCTTACTGTGAAACAGGCTATAAACCAACTCCCCTGATCTTTTGTTAGGTAGATTACTTGCAGATTCCTCCACCTTTCTTCTAATCCAAGATTTATTTAGATCTGTTAATGCGGTTTTAAGCTTCATGTAAAATGATTAATGACTCTGTTCACTAATTGGAAAACACATTTGCATGACCTGTTCTCATAATAAGCCTGGAGCACAATTCAATTTCAATAGTTTTAATGAGATATGAACTTTTACATCATTTGTTGACATTCATAGAATGAAAACAGTGCATTAGAGCATTGCCAAAGTGTTGCACCAAACAGGCTATAGCACAGTAATGCCCTATCTTGTCTGGAGTTGATAGGTATCATGGAAAATGTAGTTCATTAACATACGGCTTGACATGTTTAGCTATCAAAGATCTAGCTTATTTAAGTTTAATGCATTGAACATACAAAGATTATATATTACACATATATTGCAAAAGAGGTGATGCCCTTATGTTTGTTTTCTGCCATTGACATGGTTTATTTCACATCAACTAGAACAAGTTACTCTAGAAAGATTTAACAAGTATTACATTGTTTTAACAAATTGGACAGAAATCTCTGAATGTAATACATTAAGCGGCAAATACGTGAACTTGTGCTAACAGAATGCATGTACAAATGAATGTGAAAGAGCAGAATTAAATGGCCTTTTTCAATAATTTGCATAAGTGTCTATGTTTGAAATGGCTAATATATTGCCTTCTGCCAAATTATAAAAACCTCTAAAGCTAGATTTACAATGAAAAATGGTTGAATTTAGAAGTGCTGTAATATTTTCGGGAAATATGTATATGCTGGACAAGAAAAAAACCCTATAAAAAAAAAACAAAAAGGATTTTGACTATTCGCGTCTATAATTATCACATCACAGCAGTATTCACTCTGAATTGTTCTAGCATTCATTGACTTACCAGTCAGTCCCATAAATGCCAAGCAACACCTGTCTTTCCTATTTGTAATTATTTCCTGAATCCTGAGTCATGTACTTGGGAGTAATCAGTTGGGGTAGACAAGCCAGTGATATTCTAAACACAAACTTTATATGCTAAAGAATGCGAGAATTTCCCTTGGAAATATAACGTGAAGGTATATTTTTTAAGTGTGAGGAACAGACAGGGCTAAAAAAGATGTATGTAATAAGTTAATGTAGCAGTGGATGTCTTACACTAATATGAAATTAGGATATATAATGCTCAACAACACCTTTAGAAATGTAAGTTGGCTTACTTTTATTTAAATGCTATCTCAATGTCCAAATATTTCCTTGATAACGAAAAAGATACAAAATATCAGCTCAGGAATAAACATACACTCTTTAGGCAACATATGGTAAACTATGTTTTCACTAGGCGAACTATGAAGCTAAATTATATGTTAATAACCAGCTTATCTCTTTTTCAAAACATAAATTAAGCAATCCTCTGTTATCTGGAAAAAAGTTAAAGGACACTATAGTTACCAGAACAATTGCAGCTTAAAGGGACACTATAGTCACCAGAACAACTATAGCTTAATGTAGTTGTTCTGCTGAGTATAATAGCTCCCTTCAGGCATTTTTGCAAACACTGCCTTTTCAGAGAAAAGGCAGTGTTTACATTGCCCCTAGGGAAACCTCCAAGTGGCCACTCCTTAGACGGCCACTGGAGGGGTTTCCTGGCTCAGTGCTGCACAGTAAGCAGACCTGCCATTCAGCGTCCCCAAGCTCTACATGGGGACGCTGAATTTTCCTCATAGAGGTGCATTGATTCTATGCATCTCTATGAGGAGGTGCTGATTGGCCAAAATAGCATTTGGCCCCTCCACCTTGCCAATTTTACAAAAGATTGTCAATTTTGATGATGTCACCAAGGGGCGGGGCCAGCGCCGGGAGACTTGTGGAGAGCTGGAAATAAGGTGAGTTTTAACCAATTCTGAGGGGGCTAAAGAGTGGGGGGGAAGCCACCTAAATGGTGGGTTTTCACTATAGGGTCAGGAATACATGTTTGTGTTCCTGACCCTATAGTGATCCTTTAATGCCAGCAAGCGTTTTATTGTAAACACTGCCTTTTTTACTCAGAAAGACACGAGACGCTGAACGCTCTCCACAGAGATGCATTGATTTAATGCTTTTCTATGAGGAGATGCTGACTGACGTAGAGCGGTGTTTTGCAACGCATGCATGGGAAAGCATTCAATTGGCTGAGATCATCAAATGTAACGCTCTCAGCCACATGGGCTGATTTGTATTCCTGACACTATAGTTTTTCCTTTAACAGGGCTCTGTCATTTTAAATGCTTGTTTTTTTTTTATTGTGGTTACTTATCACTGAATTAAAACAAATATGCATTTGTGAGTTGCAAAATTTAAATTAAATGGAGAATCCACGTCTTAATCTGCAAATGGTCATATCCATCTTAGCTCCATGTCAGTGATCGTTACTACAAGCTCTGTGCTTTGAACCGGACAGTCAACATATAGAGAGCATACACAAAAGAGGAGAAATTGAACAATGTTTCTACTTTGTATCTTAATCTTTGACTTTGCTTTGTTTGAATTTAAATTTGATGTACATTTAAAAGAATAGTGAGCATTTCATGAAAAAAAGAGCCTTTAGTCTCTGGATAAAGGATCCTCAAAATACAAAAGGTTTCACTGCAATGAGTGAAAACTTGTTCAAAATAAAGCAGGCGTGACCGAACCCCATCATTTAACGAAAAAAAGAACCATATACTGCCTATATATGTGCTAAAAAATGCATTTGTTTTTAAAATATAGTTAAAGGGATACTGAAGCTGTCTCCCCTCTACTTTTTATGCTTTATGATGTTAAATAAACGTTTTTAAAAATGTTTATTTGTGTTGCTCAGCAGACATACCTCAGTGAATTCACACCAGACAAAACCTTCTTTGCCGGTGAACCACCTGTGGCATCAAGAGGTGGCCTTGACATGGCCCCCTATTGGCTTGCCCTTCCCCTGTCCAGACATTCCCTGCAAATAGATTTATTTATATTACCTGAATGAAACTACAGTGTAAGCTAAAAGAAACTGTAACAAAGAAGCAGTCATTTCAAAGTGCTTCATTTTTATTTAAAGGACCACTCTAGGCAGCCAGACCACTTCAGCTTAATGACGTGGTCTGGGTGCCAGGTCCAGCTAGGGTTAACCCATTTTTTTGATATCACTGTGCCATGTGATATCACTGTGCCATAAGGGAAGTAGAGCTGCAGCAACATTTGCAAACCTCTGACAAGTTCCGTAGCGCTGTACAATGGGTGGACTAACAGACACGTATTTGTAACCAGACCGGTTGGACGCACAGGAACAGAGAGATAGCGCAATGAGTTTACATGCCAGAGGGAGTTGGGTATAGTGACACAAAAGGTAAGGGTATGGTAAAAAACAAGGCTGAAACATATATAATTTTTAAGTGTTATTTTTTTACATTTTTTTTTAAAGATGATAAAAATTTAAACAAAATACATTTTCATTCCAGGTTATAATATTTCAAAATGTGGAAACATCCTAAAAGGGTGAATTCCTTTGCAAGGCACTGTATACAGAGATCTGTAAGAGAGCCATTATTTCTTGTGTATTAAGGACCTCTTAATCTGAGATATACAGCAATCCAATTCTAGTCTATTTATTTTAGATACAAAGTTATTTTGTTGTGCTTTGATATGGTTTTATTATGTTTCTTTAAGTGTAGAATAATGTACTTCAAGCAATACAAGTGCGATTGCAAAATTCTTTCTCCGTTTTAACGGTCTTCAGTATCTACTTGCGGGGATAAGGTTTACTTTTACAGAAATAAGATCTGTCCATTTCTCCATTCATTCTTAGAATAAGGAGCTACATTATCTTATATGCCATGGAACACACGTATTGAAGTACAATAAGATGGCATATAAAGAAATGTCTGCTTTATTAAACCAAAGACAAACAAGTCTTTAGCTCTCGTAAAAAATAAATTCATATTCCTCTCATTTTCATACATATCATGAGCTCAAGACATCAACAGCGTTTCACTTTCATTGTATATTTAGTAAATATGCTGGAACCATAGAACATACAGAATATCCCATAATCCATTTCATATAGTTTCGTCCCCTATGAACCATTCATTATAATGATTTTTTTTACATAATATAAGGTCAAGTACTCTGCACAAAAGCAGCAATTACAAATACTGAATCCCCAAATGTCAATAAAAATACTGTATTGTTGATTACTCCATCATAATGCACATTCTTTACGCCCAACCCTGTGTAAAGCAATATAAAACATACAGAAACAAAACAAATTTAACATCACCTTAGCTTTTGCACTGGTCTTCACCCAGTGGACAAGCCAATTTCTCCATCCCGGCTTTAATACGTTGATCAGCATTATGCAGTGAACTGTAAATAAAGTCACAGACCATTTCCCACACTATACAGGATCTTGTATGGCTCAGTCTGTATGGGGCTGCTGAATAGCAGCTATGGAAGACAGAATAGCTCAAGGAATATTTGCCGGCTGCAATAACAACCTGCCATTCTTTTTGTAAGACATATTTTTTCCAATGATTGAAGGAAAACAAAATAAATGTAATTATTTTACACACCTATACAAACATTTATTGAATAAAAGAAAAACAAATATGTAAATTTTACCCAATGTACTAGATTCTTTTTAACGATATCCTTGATCAGCCATTCAATCTGTGCACAGAAAGTATGTTCTGCCCTCATTTTGTGTGCAAGCTGTACATCACCTGTTTCACATTAATGCAAATTTAAAAAAATAAATACAAATATATCAGAAATAAAGTTGTTAATTAAAAGGAAGTCCCCTCAGCACCCTAATGAAACCAGCACATTGAGTCACTGTTCAGTGGCACTGAAAGGGTGAATCTCAATGTAGGTACATATGCAGAGTCAGGCTAGCTGCTCTGACTACTGTTAGCCTTTTGAGGGAACTTTGTTTGCGAACGTTATTTAGTAAATTAGAAATTGTCTACTATACTATGGTTTCTATATTTTTCTACTGATAATTTGTACTCCAACCAACTATCTTATCCTGGCAGCAACAATTAGATATGACTTCATGCAGGTGCGGAATTAATGCAGGCTCAATGGCACAGGGGACAGCAATGTTTAGGGGCCCACTCTTGGCCACCCATCAGGGGAGGAAGAGCAGTGAGGGTCCGAGCAGTGGTGAGTCGAGAACACACCAATAGTTGTTTATCATATCAGGCAAGGTCCCGTGAGTGGCAGGAAGCAATGGATACTAAGTCAGTTACTGCCTCCAATTAGCCCTGCTCCTTCTCACTCTAGAATGCAGGCTGGCTTTCTCATGAGATGATGGAGGAGACAACTGTTTCAGCCTGCTCTGGGAGTAGTCTACAACAGTCTACAACACAGGAAGGAGCAAAATGTCAAACGTGGTATGCCTGAATTGCAAGAGGTGTATGTGAAATGCATGCTTTGTGTCTGTATGCTGCACAGAGCGAGTTTGTACTGCAAATGTGGCATATTCTAATTTGGGCAGTGAGGTGGTTAATTGTCAGGCACATGTCTAAATAGGCGAGAGCGAGGGTGAACTGGCATGGGGGCAGGGCCGGTGCAAAGAATTTTGGGTACATAGGCGAAGATGCATTTTTCCGCCCCCCCAAAAACATCTTCACCCATGTGCCTCTTAACCTCCCTTTTGTGTTTCTTATCCCGTCTTTTAAATATCTGACTCCCTTTAGTGTATTTTATCTCCTATTTTTTCCTTTGTGTGTCTCCTATCTCTCCTCTTTGTATGACTCTTACATCCTCCCACATTTTGTCTTACTCCTCCCAGCCCCTTTGTGTGACTCCTTTTCTCCCAGCCCATTTGTGTCTTTTATTCTTCCCAGCTCCTTTGTGTGTGTCTCTTTCCTTCTCAAGCCCCGCTGTGTGTTTCTTTCACATCCGGCCCCTCTCCCCGTCCCTTAATGGTCCCCTCCCTTCTCTGACCCTTACTGTTCCTTTCCCTTCCCACCTCCTTTCCCTGTCCCTTAGTGTTCCTCTCCCCTCCCCCATCTGTTGGCTGTCGCTTAGTGTTCCTCTCCCCCCTCCCTCCTTTTCCTGTACCTTAGGGTATCTCTCCCCTCCTCTCCCTGTCCCTTGGTGCGCCACCCACCCCCATAGTGGTCCCCTCCCCTTCCTGGTGTGCCTCCTACCTTTTTTTGTAGCGTGGCTGAGCGGAGCGAATCCCGGTACAGTGAGCTTTTCCTGTAAGTTCTGCCAGGTACAGGAAACAGAAGTTCCTGTACCACGGTACACTGCGCTTGGCCACGCTACAGTCAGGGGTGTATAAACACTGACAGTCACACACACTCAATGACAAACATACAGACATCTCTGACAGCCAGACTCACTTATCTGACACACTCATTCATTGACAGACACTCACACGCACACTGACAGACTCATTGAAAAAAACACACTGACACACACACACACAAACTCACAGACACTGACAGACACACGTACTCACATGCGCACATGCACATACTGACAGACACACATACTCACACACACACACTGACAGAACCACACACACACACACACTGACAGAACCACACAGACACACACACTCACACACACATACTCACATGCACACACACACTGACAGACATACTCACATGCACACACACACACTGACAGACACACATACTCACACACACACTGACAGACACACATACTCACACACACACTGACAGACATACTCACATGCACACACACACACTGACAGACACATACTCACACACACACTGACAGACACACATACTCACACACACACTGACAGACACACATACTCACACACCGGACAGAGTTTACACCACACATGCACACACACACACACTGACAGACACACATACCACACACACACACCGACAGACACACACACCACACACACACCTGACAGACACACCCACCACACACACACACCGGACAGACCTCACACACACACACACACACACAAACCCACATAGTCACACAGTCACACACACACCGACAGACACACACACCACACACACCGACAGACACACCCACACACAACACACACCGACAGACATACACACACACAAACCCAACATATCACATAGTCACACAATAACAACTGACAGACACACACACAAAACCGATAACGATAGTCACACACCACACCGACAGACACACACACCACACACACACCGACAGACACACCCACCACACACACAACTGACAGACCCACCACCACACACACCACTGACAGACACACCCACCCACACACCCACCCAACACTAGGAACAACCCCAGCCCCACAGGGCCCACACACCGACACACACACACACTGACAGACACACATACTCACACACACACTGACAGACACACTCACTCACACACACACACACACACTGACAGACACACTCACTCACACACACACTGACAGACATACTCACTCACACACACACACACAAACTCACATAGTCACACACACTG